AAAAAAAAAAAAAAAAATGCAGAGCAGAGCCTCCATTCTTTCCGGCTACGGCTGACTGACAGCGAGTCCTTGTTCGATAGCTGCAGCGGCGAGAGAACGACGTAAGGCCTGGAGAGACGATGCTCGCAGAAATGTTGCATGCCACAATTGTGTGTCTGGAAACAAAGTGCTCGGCTTACAGTGCATAGTGATACTATCATCACGCGAAATGATAGCAACTGCAGAATTGCGATGCACTCTCATGCAATGCTTGACCGCAGAGCCCTTCTATCAAGCGTGTTAGCACACTCGGGGTCCCTTCGATAATTCGTAGGCATTCGCTACTCGCAGTCATCCGATACAAAGGGAAGCGGTGACATTGTGCTGCCGAGGAGGTGTCGCAGATGTGCTCAGACCGAACGCCCAGCACTGGCGCGACGAGTGCAAGCGACTTCCTCGCGTGTTTGCGTCTGGCTCAGGGATCCCAGTCGTTCTTCTATCATTTGGGCTGCGGATGGCGCCATTTGATCTGTCCCAGGCCTGTACAGCACCATCCGGAGGGAGTTCAGGAAGTGAAGTCCTCATCATCTCCTATTCGGCTTACGCGACGAATGTGATAGTCAGCCTTCTGAAATATGAGTTCTCAGGGCAGGTTCCAGGGTCATTTTCTGCACGATCTGGGCATCAGCCACGATGGTCATGCCTTGCTGTCGAGAGTCGTCTGAGGTCCCGTCAAGCATCGGAGCATGTGTTTTAGAGCTTCGGTAGTCGCGGCACACAGTGAAGATGGCGCCTTCTGAACTTTCGTGAGTGCCAAGTCAGGAGGTGTTTGCAGCGAAAGGCTTCGCGGCGGTGGCGGACACGCGCGCGCAAGGCAAGGTGGAATGTGACGCCAGCTTGCTGGTTCCGACCACGTTGTGCGATTCAACAAGCCGCATCTCTCAGCACCATGTCCATGTCCTGGGCACGCACGTGACGGGCGGAGGACCGCGCCCCATCTCACCTCACCGCCACCACGCCTCATCTGCGACGCTCCTGAGCAGCGCGCGAGCTGCCTGTTGAGCTCTAGCCGGGCAATCTGCGAGCGGCGAGGAGGGAGATTGTGCGAGATGGTGGGTGTTATGATTGTCCGAGACGGCGTCGGCGGCGCTCGTGCGTTGCTTCGATAAGTCGGCCGCTTGCCAGCAACGAGATTGCATCAGAAGGCTTCGCCGCCGCCGCAGCCGTTGGAAGGAGCGGCGCTTGAGCGTTTGTGGAATATCGCTCAACTTCCAATGCCAATCGCGAGCGCCGAGGCTCGACAAACGTGACCGCACTAACGAGAGCCCGAATTAGCACGAAACACGAGGCGGCGAAGGCTGAACGCGACAATGCGAGGACAGAGTCGGCAGCATCGCGACATGTGGCCGCCATCACGAGCACCGAGCACGAGAGACGAAAACACGACGTGCAGAAGAGGCCGAAGTGCTGGCGCGCACCCGGGGCGTGCAGAGTGAATGCACGGCGTGCAATTTGTGCGGTCGACTACCCTCTCTAGGCGAGCAAGCGACGCGAGATGAATGCACGCGCGATGGAGCCAGTTGGGCCTGCAGGCAGAGCAGAGGAGTATCGCCAGGCGCAGATTGTACTCAACCAACGCGCTCCGCCAGGACAGACCGCGACGCCGTCCTGCGCGCGCAGTGGAAGACAGCTGAATACACAGCGGCGACGATGAGCAGCGAATACCAGGCCGTTGCTGGGCGCAAGCAGAGTCTGGTACCTGCAGCGGGCGGCTGCTGCCCGCCCAAAACAGCTTAGGAGCTAACTTTACCTCTGGCCTCAGCCTCTTTTCGGGAACATGTCAGGCACGGGCCAATCACGCCGCTCACTGCCCATCTTGGACAACATAGACTTTGTGACCGTTTAGTCAAACTAAATTGCGCCTGGCCACGACGGACATGAATCGACGACCAGGGGCATTGCCGGCGCCTGTGCCCTCCCACGGCCTCCACTACATACATACTGCCCTCGCGTTGACTCGTCGCTCTTTCTCACGAACATCTTCTGTTTCGCGACAACACGCTCTCTTGTCTTTCGGGACCCTTACGCTCTTTAGCACTTCACTCACTCTTTTCACCCGTGTTGCCTCCGGCAGGGTCGATTCCTCGCCGCTAACTTCACTTCCGTCGCATCTTCTTTTATAGAAAACAGATCCCATTCGAAACCATGTTCACCAAGGCCACTCTCTTCGCCGCCTTGTTGGCTGGCGCCTCTGCCAACACCCCACCAAGCTACGGTGGTGGTGAGCAGCCAAAGGGCTACGACTACCCAGTCGACAGCAGCAGCTACCCAGCCGAGCCAACCCACGATGCTACCTATCCCGCTGTTTACCCAACGGAATCGAAGCACGCTGAGTACCCGACCGAGTCGAAGCCTTACGTCTACCCAACTGCTTCGTACCCAACCGAGGAGCACCCAACATACACCAAGCCTGCTGAGGACAAGCCCACCTACCCAGCAACTTACCCGGCTCACGAGGACAAGCCAACCGAGCCAGCGAAGCCATACCTCCCAGAGACCTACTCCTCGGCCAAGCCATCGAAGTTCACCAAGACTTCTGATGACTACGTCTACGCTACTCTCACCAAGACCGACTACGTGACCATCACCAAGGATGGCAAGCCATACGTCACAACCACTGAGTCTGTGTACACTACCTACTGCCCAGTGAGTACAGTCATAGGTGGAAGCTCTACGCAAGCCACAACACGTGAAGCAGTGACTATCGCTTACACCTATTATTCTCAGGAGTCTGAGAAGACGAAGTCTGTCTACCAGCCAGAGAAGCCGAAGGAGACCTACCCAGCTGAGAAGCCAAAGGAGACCTACCCAGCAGAGAAGCCAAAGGTACGTACAATCCTGGATCGTACTCTGTTCGTTTCGAAGCTTCCATCGAAGTGCACCCTCTTCGTTCCGAAGTTTCCATCGAAGTGCACCCTCTTCGTTCCGAAGCTTCCATCGAAGTGCACCCTCTTCATTTCGAAGTTTCCATCGAAATGCACCCTCTTCATTTCGAAGTTTCCATCGAAATGCACCCTCTTCGTTTCGAAGCTTCCATCGAAGTGCACCCTCTTCGTTTCGAAGCTTCCATCGTATTTCTTACTGACAATTTTCGACAGGAGACCAAGCCTGTCTATCCTGAGCAACCAAAGGAGAGCAAGCCTGTCTATCCTAACAAGCCATACGGAACTGGCTACCCAGAGAAGAAGCCAGTTCCTTCTGGCTACCAGAGCAAGTCTGAGGTTGTCTACGACAAGACTCTGACCTACACTCAAGGCTATGGTGCTTCCACCACTGTCATCACCACCACCGTCAAGTCGACTTCCACTGTCTACCTCACCGAGACCAAGTACGCTCAAAAGCCAACTCAGCCTGCAAACAAGCCAACTTCGCCTGCTTCTCCAGAACAGCCAAAGGTGCGTTCGGTCGATGAAGGAATACGTTTGAAAATCCGTATTCCTGATGACAGTTGTTGTCGATCAAATCGCTGACTGCTTTCAATAGCAAACTTACCCAGCCCAGCCTGAGCAACCAAAGAGCTACACCACCGTCAAAACTACCTCCACCATCACCAACTACGTTACCGTGTACCCAACCCAGACTGCTGAGAAGGACTGCAAGTACGCCACTGTCACCGTCACTCAGAAGGAGACCGTCTACGTCAACCAGCCAAAGCCAACTCAGCCAGCCAAGCCTGAGCAGCCAAAGGAGCAGCCAAAGCCATCCTACCCAGCCAAGCCAAACCAGCCTGAGGCTCCTAAGTACCCAACTGGTGGAAAGCCATCTTCTGGTTACGCTCAGCCAACTGGTTTCAAGACCTCCACCAAGTCCAAGGACTACAAGCCTTCTGCGACCTATCCAGTTGAGTCCAAGCCAACCTACCCGGCTACTCACCCAGCTGAGTCCAAGCCAACCTACCCGGCTACCCACCCAGCCGAGTCCAAGCCAACCTACCCAGCTACCTACCCGGCTGAGTCTAAGGCTACTTACCCTGCTGAGAGCAAGCCCACCTACCCAGCAACTCACCCAGCTGAGTACCCATCCGTGACAACTGCCTACGTCAGCCCTGTCCCAAGCAAGCCAACCTCCCCTGAGGCTCCTGCCGGATACGGCGGTGAGGCACCAAAGGGCTATGCCATGTAAATTCCCTATACCCACAGTACTTTGCAAAGGAACAGGATTAGAGAAACAGAGACATGAGTCGCAGCGCCAGACTTCACGAATTTGACGAGTAGTCGGAAAGAAAGATGGAAGGGACTTCTAAATATCAGACATTTTTGTGTGTGTATTGTTTATTATCTTGGGTTTGGATGTAGAGAGAGATACCAGCAGCAGGGCTGAAGTGGTGGTGAACAGGAGAGAGAGAGAGATAATTCTTGTGTAGTTGTGAATCATCATCATCAAGTGTTCATTTGATAATATTTTGTGTATATTTTAATTGTTCGTTTCGATTCTTGTTTATGATGATGTCTCTATGTGTATGATGCGGTGTGGGCTGTGACGTACCCGACTCTGGTGGTTTGAAGGGTGAGGCTCAGGTGGTTCGAAGGGTAAGCTGTCTAAATTAGGTATGTGGACCGGCTTGCATTCCTACGCAGCTGGATAGGTCACCCTGAGCACTCTATGGTTACTCGGCTGGATATCAGTAGGCTTGAAGGGCGGGTATCAGCAGGCTTGAAGGGTTGGACGAGTAGGCTTGAAAGGGGGGTATCAATAGACTTGAGAGGTCAACTACCTGTGCTCCTCTGTGAGGCTATTGGGCTAGATAGGTGTGCTTGGACGTTCGGACGCACTGACTTATTCTCTACGGGATACCTGGCACGGATACGTTGACTCTCTTCATTTGACTCGCCTGGTTTATCAGTGTCTTTGCAGTTGGTCATTTCGACCGGTATGCTGGCAGGTGGTCAGCTGGCTTATTGGGTTGTTTCGTCCCTTGCTTTGCTGGATAGGTTGGCTTATCCTCAGTTGGGCATATCAAATGGCTCATAAGGCTTGCTGTGCTGGATAGGTTGGTTTGTCCTCAGCTGGACATATCAGATGGCTCATGAGGCTTGCTCGTCTGGGTAGGTTTGTTGGGGGCGGCTCTCAGCCCTTCCTCTACTGGGCACATGGCGTCGCTCTCGTTGCTGACTTCGTTAAGTCGGTGACTTCTTGTCAACAGGGAGAATTGGCTCACTCTTAGCGCTGTCTCTGCGCTCATTGGGTCAATTTCCTCGGCTGGACTCGTTGACCTATCTTATTTCTAGTAAGTTATGCACATATAACTATTGGTCTGTCTTGTGCTCATTGTTGGTAGTAGAGTTCTGTGTTAGTCCGGTGATGACCGATTCCATTTACAATTGGAGCTTAACGTGGGTGTTGGGTTGTATACGCATGCTACTGGCAAACTTCTCGAATGTCGTTCGCTGCTGTTGGTGATGACGGTGTTATGGTTGTAATGCTCTGTTTGTTCTCATCACAACCACAGCCACAAAAGCAAGAAGCTGTGTTGATCAACGGCTCGTATTGTACTGCTTGCTGTAATGATTGGTGGCAAGAATGGCGTTGAGTGGAAATGACATATTGCCATCTTGTGATGAGGGTCGAAGTGTAATCTGCCTTGCTTGCTAAGTTACTGCGTACTCTATGAGTGTTCATTGGTCATGCGTATAGCTTGTTGTTAGCTCAGGCTTGGGATTGCCTCCATTTGGCAGCAGTGAAAGTATAGCACGCTGACATCACAAATACGGTGCTGCAGTCAAGCAGATCAATCATCATGCCAGGAATCCTGTTTCTCTTGCCGTGGCTTTTCCAGCAGGGTGACGTTGACCGATGACCATTTACAGTCGTTCAGGATCTGGTTGGCGGCAAAATTCATCTCTAGCAGTATGTCGAACCCTATCTGGTCATCCAGAACAGGAAGATCCACGGGAAGCTTTTGCAATCAGTAGTGATATCTCTCAATCCCTTTCGAATCAAGCTTCGCCTGACGATCCGGATGACATGACTCCGTAGATCATGCTCCGGATCTGTTTCGGTATGTGTCGATCACGAGATGGATCTCCGTCTCGGTGCGAGATGACCCAGGCGTCAGCAGGCAAGTTGAGAAGTTCTTCGGTTTTGCACACGTCCTGTTGGTGGAATTGCTTCAAGGCTGGATGCCGGATTCCTCTTACGAGAATTGTTGAATCTTGAGGATTTGTGGCGTCATTGTTGTTCATCTAGATCAAACGTCTGTCTTCTGACACAGGGAAAGCGACTCTGTTGAGTGGGCTGGATTGATAGGTTACGACGTTGTATCACTTGGTCTTTCCAGGTTCGGACTGTCCGCGATATCGTGGCTGCCGAAAGCGATTGGATGTACCAGCGTGGCTGCCGGACTTGTGCATCTGTGGCTTCCTTCACTCTTAGAAGAGGCTATTCATCCTCGACTGAATGGAGTGCGTCCATCACAGTCCAGCGCAACCCCTTCTGAATGCGTTCATCATCGGAATTTATGCCGTCCATTGGGAGAAGTCAGAAGTGACGGCTTCAAACTTTAGAGCGAAGTAGAGCCGAGGCTTGGCGGGGAAGTGAGGGGACTGGTCGTCGATCCTCCTCCTTGATTCGTGGACGTATTCTTCCTAGCACCACCACCTCTTTAGCCGGCGATGGCCACGAGCACTACACTTCGGTCGTGCAGCTCATCGCCATGCAGCTCCGCCACGACCAAGATCACCTCAGGCCAGGGCCTGCGGCATTCTTTTGATACAGCGCTTGATCCTAATTCTTCCTTATCGCTGCCGACATCCATCGAGCAGTTCAATCTCGGGACAATTAAGCGGCAGCATCTGCAGTATAACACTGCTCCCATCCAGTTCCACTCTGGTGGACACAATTCACATTGCAGACACACCATGTGTGTTTGGTTGACTGACGCCCAGCTTGTCCGACCAACCCAGAGTACCCATCTAGGTGAGTGCCAATCTCAGTATGCTGTTAGCATGTTCGTGGAGCTGACCTCATCACAGGCCACGGTGCGAGCGATATCTCCATTCGGTGACCTGCAGTCGCGAGGGCAAACAAAAATCAACTATCTTCTCAATGGCAGTAGGGCCCATGCCTGCTGTCATGTACAAAGCCAATGGAGTGATGAAGATTGAAGAAATCATCCATAATGAGCCCCCGCGACTGCTCGTCATCTTCGACAAGGACCAAGAGGAGATTACGCGCATCATCGCAGACGTGTTGGGACATGCCTACCGTTTGGTCGATGGCCTAGAGGGTGCTCGAGGGTGGTCGGATGAGGCTGTGGTGGGATTGGACAAGGATTTCATTACGGCGCCGGAGTCTTTACGGAGTTTGGACAGGACGATTATTATGACCCATTGCGTCGATGGACGAGATTCAAGCAACGGACGCCTGACCGAGTACTGCGATTACGAGTATCTTTATTCCAAGACGACACCGATTCGTCGGGATGTGGCGAGGTTCTTGGCCTTTGTGTTGGGCCAGTCCAAGCCTCACGAAGACCTCAGAGGAAAGCCAAGGACGACGATGCTCTGCATGACATTCTCCGACATTCGCGCGGCTCTGCCAAATTTGGATATACTGTCGGTTGGCGCCGATGCAGTTGAACTTCGCGTGGACCTTTTGCGTGATCCGGAGACTGAGCATAACTTCGGATCTGTGCCAAGCTTGAAATATGTTGGTGAACAGCTCATGCTGCTCCGGCAACGAACCGAACTGCCCATTATATTCACGACACGCTGCACAAGCGAAAATGGACGTTTCCCTATGGATGACCCAGAGTTGTATTACACCTACCTCCGCAAAGCCATGCAATGGGGCTGCGAATATATTGACGTTGAGTTGTGGCTTCCAGTGGAGATCAGACGAAGGCTCGCCGCCGAGAAAGGGCATAGCAAAATCATATCCGCCTGGCACGACTTTTCTGGGCGATTCAAGTGGACCTCGCCACAAGCTCAGCAGATCTTCCAGGAAAGTGCGCTGTACAGCGACGTGGTCAAGATGATCGCACTCGTCAGCAGCATGGAAGACAACTACGAGCTGGAGTACTTTCGATCGACAGTTCAAGGTCGATCGCACCCACCATTCTCGGGCTTGAACATGGGAGTGGCTGGTCAGCTGTCAAGGACACTGAATAAAGTCTTCACACCAATCACCCATCCACTGATGCCACTCATCGCGGCACCTGGTCAGCTTAGCGCTGCTGAGATCAATTCAATGCTCCACTCTATGGGTCAGATGCCAGAGCTAGACATTCATGCGATTGGACGCGTGCGCACAAATGGCCACGCCATGTTCCTTGAGAAGTGTCTCAATGAGCTCAGCTTGCCTCATCGTCTAATATGCGTTGAGCAACCCCCGAGTAGTTCGTTGCAGCCATACCTCGCTAGAGCGCAATTTGGGGGTGCCTACATTAATCCTCCGGTGGGGGTCGAGAACGCAACATACCTGCCAACTCTCACTGAGTCTGCATCTGCGATTGGGCAAGTCGACACTGTTGCTGTACGACAAACCAAAAGTGGCAACACACTTGTCGCTGACAACGTCGCGTGGAAAGGCATTCGAGCGACCTTGACTCGGGATTTCGTTCCGAGCGCCTACGCTGGCCGAGCTGCGATTGTCATTGCAAACAACGAGGGTCAGGCTGCAGCTGCAATATATGCACTTACCAGCTTGGATATTGGGACTCTGTACACCATCGGCTTCCAGTCATCAGGTCACAAGCAGCTGCAAGGTCTCGGCGACCTCGATGCCATCGAATCGCCATTCGCGGTGATCTCCGCGTTGCCAGCCGAGCGGTCTATGGCAGCAGTCCCTGTTCTGAAGCATTTCACGGCGAAGAACAGAAAGAGAGCGACGTCCGCTGGCAAGATCTTCCTCGACTTGTCCAATGGCATCAAAGGCAATGGAGACTCGGTGTCGATCGCCGAGTCACTAGGATGGGCAGCATACCCTTGTGCAGACTACGTCTCTCGCATCGTGGTAGAGGCGATCCGGGGCTTGGTGGGCGAGAATGTTCCGTGTGACTTTGTGAGGCTCGCAGCTGGGAGGGGATTATACACATGATGGCCATGCAGGGCAATAGTGACACGGCGTTGGGGGTATGGGTATGGATATAGGGTATGGGGCATGCAGGCACACTGACACAGTGTAGGGCAGAACAGTCCTTACTGCAGGCATCTCTGCCTTTCGTATGTAGTCGTTAAGCATCGTGGTTTCTTGCTCTGTGCAGCATTCCATATGGGGAAGGTCGGCTAGGTATGTTCGGTGGAAGGTTCAGCTCGGTCCGATGCACCCCGATGTCTTGTCGACGTCCCGCCCTCCACACCGTCACTGGTCTTGCGCACTTCCAACCTTAGCCGTGTAGATGAGGCTAAAAGCTGCTTTTCTTGCACACACAGAGTTCGGCCAGCAAAGTTACTATTGTAGCAGCTCGTAAATCGAGCCTGTACAGTCAGGCTTTGATTAGAGCTCCCACGGCTCCGTTGTGTCAACAGCCGAAATGAGCACAACTTCCACTCAGCGGCAACGACGACGACAGCACAACACGAGCGGCTCACGAAACTCGGATGTCAGGACCCGTGTGCTACACACCAGCTACACCGACCGTGGTTGTCGCCATCTTTCTGGAACGTTGACAGATCAACCCCGGCCGTCCACGTGCCCAATGTCCCCCGGCTAAAGACAGATTGCTAGCGCATGCTCGGTTCGCCTTCGCGTTGTCGCTCCCCCTCACCAGTATATTCTTGTCCTTCCAGAAAAGTCTGTCTCGAAGCGACGCCTGCACCGTTAGACAGCCTGGCACGCAAGAGTGACCAGTCGTCTGTGCAGGCGCTGCGCTGTTCCAATCTATTGCTCCATTCTCGCCCTGCACCCCAGAACAGGCACTCACCACCGGGAGTGGAGGTGGCTTGCATGCCTCCCATCAAAGCTTGCCCATCCTGCGCACGTCTTGCCGTCCTCAGCAGCAAGAAGAGGCGGTTTGTCGGATCGCCCGCATGCTACCCAGATCCCGTAAGTCGCAGCATGGCTAGCACGCAGCAGCGTGTGGGTGGTAAGGTAGTATGTGCCCTGCAGATCTCCCCCGCCCTTTCGTGCCCGTGATCTGTAAACTTGGGGTTGAACCTAGTGCGAATGGTCGCAGTATGGCGTACCGGCTCCACAAGCGAAGCGACAAACACGATGGACCTATCCTGCTTTAACCTTCAAGCTTGCCCTCTTGTTGCTCCTTGATCTTTTCTGGCTTGCTCGGCAGACGTTATGCTCCTCGCTCCTCTACACCTTGGGCATGGAATACCGATGACACGAGCATGACCATGGCAATTGCACAACAGAACAGTGTAGACATGGCGACCATTGCGAGGCCAATCGAACGCCTGCCGGTCAGGAAGTCGAATGGCGACCAGAAAGAGGCGATGAATTGCAAGAGCTGTCGGAAGCGAAAGGTTTGTTTTTCAGTATTGAAAAAGGTCAGCTTTGGATGCATGCTGACCTCGGCCAGATCAAGTGCAATCGCTCGACACCAAGTTGCGAAGCATGCCAGGTCTTCAACTGTCCTTGCATTTATGGTATGGCACTCAATCGCGCGTCAACCCCGCGAGAGCTGACAATTCGAAGACGCCATACCAAAGAAACGAGGGCCCAAGACCGACGTATTGGAGGCCTTACTCAAGCGCGTTAATGGACTTGAGAAACGTCTGAAAGATGAGCAAAAGGGCGATTCTACCCAAGACGCGACTTCAACTAGTCCGCAAAGCGACAAGCAGATTTCTGAGAGAGGCGAGGAGGCAGAAGTGGCGAGGACTTCACCAGGTGTGCACGACTTCGACTTTGCGGAGCTGAGGCCAGTGAGGTCAGCCCCGATGCCCATCGAGCCAGCGCCTCCAGCAGCACCAGCTCGAGAAGCAATGGCGTTCACTGATGCCCTGCTCGACACCTATTTCGCTCGACTGCACAACAAACCATATTACATCCTCGATGAGACAGCCACACGACAGCGCCTCCGCGACGGAAGGCTTCCTGTGTTCCTCATCAACGCGATACACGCAGTGGCAATTCGATATGTGCCTCATCTATGCGGTGGCCACAGCGGAGCTGTCCGCTCAAGCCAGGACTATGTGCATCGGGCACGAGCACAAATCGACGTGGACGAGCCCAATATTGACAACCTGCAGGCACTGTTGCTCCTGGCAATGGCCAACTTCCAGAACGGCCGAGGCAAGAGATGCTACATGGTGCTCACACACGCCGTCAGCATGGCGTTTGCACTAAACCTTCACCGCGAATTGCCAGCAGAGCTCCGCATTGCGTCCTCGGAGCGAGAGGGCCGCAGAAAACTGTTCTGGACATGCTATCTAATGGATCGCTTCACAGTCAGCGGCTCGAAGCGACCCTCACTCATTGCCGACGAATCCATCTACCTGAGACTGCCGGCTTGGCGACCCCAAGGATCTCAGGTCCTCGTGGACGGCAATTTCTTTCCAAGCGCGGGACAGGGCCTGGGTGTCTCTAATGCTGCCCAAGGTAGCGGTGCTATGCTCATTGAAATTGTCCGCGTGCTTGGGATCACCAATCGATACCTTGCCGCTGGCGGTGTGAAGGGTGATTCGCACTTCCCTTGGCATGCACAGTCGACTTTGTCCAGGATTCGATCCGACTTGGATTACTGGGCTGCAGCTACGCAGGATATCTTCACATCCATCGATACCTTGTTTGGATCACATGATAGCTCGACGCTTGTGCTGAGCAAGCTGATCTACCATCTTGTACACTGTCTCATCTATCGGCCGTTCCTACCTATCGATCTGGCAGAGCTCTCTGGAACAGGTCAACATCAATCATGGCAGATCGAAGCGACAAATTTGTGCTTCATGCATGCCAACGCCATAGCTGAGCTGGTCGAAATAGGCAAGAACACCGCCCTCCTCGACTGGCCGTCCTTTGTCGGCTATGCAGTCTGCACAGCAGGCACGATCCACGTCCATGGTGTCCACTACTTGTCGTACCGGGAGGGAGATGCCTTCAGCCATAGTGCAGAGTTCTTACATCGAGCTATGTTGCAGCTCACTGAACTGCGATCCACCTGGGCGGGCGTGCAGCATCAACGGGATACTTTACAAGCAGTCTATGCCAGCCATGCACAGCTTGTAAAATCCTTGGCGAGCAGCCCGATGCGCTTCTCTCCGGTCTTCCAGATGGAGGATTTCTTTGACAGATACCCAGGATGCTATATCGATGGGGCCCATGTCAGCTTCTCCGACATCATCATTGACACTGGCATGAACGAAGGAATGCTTCGAGAGGCCAATAATCTCTGGAGTCCGGAGGCATGTCTGTCTGCAGTGCAGACTCAGCCCGCACCTCAGAATAATGGCCCCATCCGGAAGCCAAAGAAGCGAAGAGCGACAGCACCCAACCTACCATACCCAACACCACCAAAGCAAGCTATGTTGACACAACCAAATCAACAACAACCTGCGTTGCCGAGTGTGCCCGAGCTTGCAGTCATCGACGAACAGCCCGTTGGCAACGAACCAGACGAGGTACAAGAGCAGCAGAACCCCATGCTCTTCGACGGAGAGACGTTCCCGCCAAATCTTACTTTCAGTCCCATACCATCCGCAATCAGCATGCCGAATCCAATAGGCTTTGATCCCTATCAAGGTCGTGTGCTGGACCAGACGACTCCAGGCAGCTTCAACGGAAGCGCTGAATCGGCTCATACAGAAGTCGAAAGCGATCCTTTCTTGAGCTTGTTGGAGCAGTTGGCTGAGAATGATGCGACGACTGCATTTGGAGGTCATGGAGACTTTGACTTCTATATGGGTGTTCAGACATGATGTGAAGTGAGGCTAAAAAAGCATTATTAATGCAGCAGATGATGCGAGCATCTGCTGCTTGAAAGCGTGTAAAATCCGCTGCAGCATCATTGCACTTCTCAATCAGCATTTTTTGAGCGTTCTTAGTTGATACCCACCATAGTGCTGGCTTCTTCTCTCAAAGGAGACCAGGAATTATAGCCTTTCGCTTGCCGATTCTCTCTTTTCCGAACTTCTCCACGTACCACCTGTGCCCACTCAGCGCTCTCGGCAACATCGTAGAGATCTCGTTGAACAGAAAGGTCCTGGCAGGAACGCAGTCAAGTCCGCCAATCATCCAGAATCCTGCCCATTCGAACCACTCGCATAGGTAGTGAGGGTACAGAATGAAATGGAATAAACCATTTTTCGGGATCATGTAAAGTTTGTCAGTCCCAGCGACTGGTTTTCCATCTTTCTCCGCTTGCGCTTTTTGTCTTCTGGCCGCGGCTCGGCGGATTTCTCGCAAGTCGTCGTCGTGGAAAATGTTGCCGAGGAAGCTCCAGCCCCAGATCACGAGGCCGATTTCGATCATGTAGAGCCTTCCAGCCCAGTCCCAGACTGTAGTGGGACCATATCCAGCGAGCCAACCTCCGAGTGAGAGACCATTGATCGTCTGCCAGATGAATGCACTGACCATTACGAAGGGGTGAATCGGCGACATGGAAGGATTGAGCCAGAGCGGGGAGAGAATTGCTCGGTAGATGTAGTGAATCGAGTAGAGTCCGATCATTGTCCAGTTCGCCCAAGGAAGTCCTTCAGTTAAACCGAGCTTTGAAGGTAGAACCCAGGCGCAGTAGTTGACGATTGTGATTCCTGGGAGTTCCATGATGAGCCAGGCCCATTTTCCTGGGAGGTTCCATTTGGAGTCTACTGAGGTTTTGCCTTGGGGGTAGTAGTCGATGAACCATTGGGTTGCTGTGAACTGTGAAGTCTTTGCGTCAGTTTCCTGAAGGAGGATATGTGAGGTATTTGAGATGTTCACTAACCAGTGGGAAGAACTGCCAGCCCCACACGATCAATTCCCAGTTCTCCTTCGAGGGAGGCAGGATTCCCGGAATGAGCTCCATTGTCGGCAACAGCGACGAGAAAAGCTGCAATGCGTCTCTGAAGTAGCGACTGAACGCACAACGGTGGTTTGTCAGTCGCGAGTGGTTGTTGGAACAAGAGAAACAAGCAATGCCGTCGTCATGGAGCTTCATCGGCACGTCGCGGGTGTCGCGCAACCTTAACACGGGACGCGAGATCCCGTGACTGCGCGCTCCCACTGCCCTGGGAGATTGAGGCTTCAACACTTGACAAGGAGCATGGGCCAAGATCTGACATCTGGCATGTTTCGCCCACGTCGACCGCCTATTGTTTCTTCTTCGTCTTTTCTTTTGCACGTAATGCGATTGCGATATGGCGGCCAAGTCGTTCAGGATTCGGGAGTACGATGATGCGGACAATGTGGTTGCCACGTATGTTCAGAGTCTGGGCAGTGAGAAGGAGAGCCGAGTTGATGTGATTGTATGTCCATGTCCGATATGTGAGATCAGACTTGCAGCTGATAGAAAGCAGCGGCCTGGGAACTCCCAGTCATTCACTGCACTATGGAGCAAGACACTTGACGTGTTTCTGCCTGTTGGCTTTCCTCACAGTGTTACAGATGATTATCTTGAGTGAGTGGCCACAAGTCGCGAGATATGTAAGAGAGGAGTGCTGATTCAACTCAGGTATCAGATCTATGTGAGGAAACTGGTTCACGGAATAAGACATTGCAATTCTGACATCGGGACAGGACTCGCTTCAAGCCTTCTCGAGCAGCATCGCTGCTATGCTCTCCTCTCGAGCTGTTCTCGAAGGTGTTGGAGTAGGAGATGCGACTGCCAATGCCACAACTGCCCTCCTGCTCTCCATTCTTCAAGACTCAGTCGGCCGCATCACCACGATCCTCTTCGCACACCGCTTCGGCCTGTCCCTCGAGCCGGAATGCAAGATGTATCGTCTCCTGGCAGATATCCTCAACGACGCTGGTTTCATTCTGGACTGCCTGTCTCCAATCTTTCCCAAGCCGACCCGAGTCATGATCTTGAGCACCAGCAGCATTCTTCGCTCGCTATGTGGCGTTGCAGCTGGGAGTGCAAAAGCTAGTTTGAGTGCTCACTTCGCCAAGCAAGGAAATTTGGGAGAATTGAATGCCAAAGATTCAAGCCAGGAGACAGTCATCTCTCTCGCGGGAATGCTGTTTGGTAGTTGGGTGATTACTTGGATCACGACACCGTTTGCTACCTGGACTGCATTGATTCTGTTGCTTTCGATTCATCTGGAGACCAACAGACGTGCTGTGCGGGCCGTCAAAATGCACACTTTGAATCGACAGAGAGCATCTTTGGTCTACCGTCATCTTCGCAAAGGCCATGTGCCTACTCCAACTGAAGTGGCGTCCAGTGAGCGCATCTTTGAACGGGACGGCGTAATGAGAGACAAAGATGATCGTGTTGTTGGCCACTGCTTCATCGGTGCACCACTGTCCAGATTGTTGGTCGCCATTGGGGAGCAACAGGCAACAACCAAAGCCGTGAAAGTCGATGAGAAGAAGCTGAGTGAAATCCTGGCACTGTATGAAAGCGACCAATATATCCTATGGCTCGACAGATCGTCTCGACCAGGCAAAGCGAACATCTTCATCGTGCTGAAGAAGCATGCAGATGCAAAGGCTCTCGTTATTGCTTGGTGGCAGGCACTTATTGTAGCGGAAGACATTTCCAACGCTGGCAAGTTGAGCGAAGGAGACATCTCGGAACAATGCAAGCTCTTCGCGAAGGCGCGTGAGGAAGCCAATGGTCTCTGGGACAAGTATTACGAGAAGCTGGGAGCGTTAGAGTGGGACTTGTCTTCAGCTCCTATGGAGACTGTAGCTGCCACTCGTGTGGAGATGGAGGAAAATTAATGCCCTATCCTGTTCAGCTGTGAGAGCAGAGAAGCTGTGCGTATATTTACACCGATAGAATTTACTTGAAGCATTGACTTTTGTTAGAGATGCTGTCATGTGATCGCTGATGCCTAGACGATACGCAAACGCTGCAGAAAGGAGATGGACGGACTTGTTTGCAATCATGATGGACTGACCTGCTCACGCACCTGTGACCGGTGGGAGAAAAATAGAAAAGAGGTGATGCCTGTTAGTAGTGAGACAGGTAGCTTGAACGAGATGGTTAGCCATGTCTTCATCGCAGGTTACCATAGTGACTCACCTAATGTGCAGGCTGTGTAGTAGTAGCCGAAGGCGTCTGTTATCGCAGCACACAGTATGGGTCCGACCAAGAGACCAACGTTGAAGGAGATCTCGGTGAGAGAGAACATGCGACTGCTTCCGCCTCCAGGACCGAACATGTAGGGATCCTGAGCTTTGAGCTCAAACAGCAACGCTTCGAAAAGTCAGTCCAGCAACACTGATATATATGTCCACATTACTCACATGTCAATTGGAATGCACCAGCTCCACGCATCAAGGACATGGTGAGACCGATTCCGACGATCGTCGCTACAAAAGCTCGTTCTCCTGTAGCTCCATCTCCCACACCAAGGAAGTTGGACTTGTCAGGTACTCCAGTGAACCACAATAGCGGAGCAGTAATAACCCAACCAATAGAGGTTGGCCAACGGAGCCCAATACGATCTCGAAGCCAGCCGATTAGCGGTGCTGTCAACATTGCTGGAATCTGCAGACCAAGGAACAATGAGCCTGTTGAAGCAGGACCCCAACCGAAAATGTCTCGAAGATGCAGCGGAAGTGTTGCATCAAAAGCAGACATGATCACTCCGAAAGCCACAACGTTGCACATAGCTGCCCATGCCCCGCTATACCTCAGTATCACACTGTAGAAATTGCGAGCCGGCTTTTCAGCAACCTGCTCATCTGCTGTTGAGGTTGCTTGGAGCAAAGGGGAATCCTCGCCCTGTGCAGACTCCTGCGTCGGAGTTGCTGTTCCAGATACATCTGGCTTCGCCTTCTCCTCTGGCCTGACATCGACCATTGCCAATCGAGCCACAAGATCGATGAACAGAAGACCCAATGGCACGGACCAAGCAGCCCAATACCCAAGCCATTCTAATAGCACTCCAGACACCGCTGGCCCGGTTATGATTCCGCCCGTGACGAAGCTGTTTGCCAAGCCAAGTATCTTACCCGTGTGCTTTGTGCCCGCGGATTCCGCGAGCATAGCAAAAGCGATAATCCAAGCTCCAGTGCCAGCAATACCTTGGAGAATCCGACCTGCGTAAACGAGCCATATTGAAATTGTGGAGGCAACGAGTAATGTGCCAATCGTGCAGCCCAAAAGCGAAATCAGAAGCGGGCCTTTTCGACTTGTGGTCTGATCTGCTAAATGGCCAATTATGGGGGCTGCTGGGATCGATATGAGGCCAAGAATGACGAGAAGCTCCGCGGTAAAGCGTTGTGTGTAGGCGGGATCAAGCCGAAGTCGCTGTTCAATCATATAGGGGAGGATGGGCACCACAAACGCATAGAGGAAGTTCTCTTCGTAGCTTTCGTTAGTGTAACCTCGGGCCCCACGTAGTCTTGCCACAAACCTGTGAATAATCCTAATGTTGAGGTGAAGATGAGCAATGTCTGTGAAGTCCGCCATGATCGGCTAGGTGATGCCGACATGGTGGAGGAAATGCAAGCTGATCAAGGAAGGTGACGAGCTTGAAGAAGTATGCTGCAGAAGTGCATACAGAGAGACAGAGAGAGCTGTTGAAATGGCGGTTAAAGACTGCATACCTCTCGGCCCGGGCGGCAGATAGCTGGCTGCCATAAGGCGTGCTAAATGCACTCCAGTGAGTCACTTTGGAACAACTGAGCTTAGTTACAGGAATACAATGCTGGACTGGTCTATGATCGGCGTGACTGTGCATCTGTGTTAGCTGCAGTGTTCGTATGCGTCCATCGTGACACGGAATGAAGGTTCGATGGCGTGAAGAAGAGAGCTTCAGAGAGCTCAAGAGAAAGGATGTGTGAGACGGGCCGAATTCCGAATTCCGTATGTGTGTGAATTGAGGTGTTTGTTGCAGCACTCAAGACCCATTTGCTTTGCCGTCTTCGTAATGCATCACCTCAGCCAGAGTAAGTCTTCATTGTTCCCGCCATGATGCTGTGACCAGGCATAATCTGCCACAGCCGAGTTCAGATGACGAAGGTCTTGAGCTGCCTCGCTGGCAGGCACTATTGCGTACAACGACGACGATCCATCGTTGAGTCTTGTGCCAGAAGCGTTTGGGCGCGGAGTATGCAGCATCCGGAGTCTGGGATCGGCTATCAAATCATCTGCATCTCAATGGCTTTCAATGGCAGAGAAGCCAATCTCCGTGATTGGTTCCGGCATTGACAGTAGATGTTGGCCAATGTCTTGTCTGTCATGGCAGGTATATCCGCGATGGGCTCTGACCGGACGACTTAAACAACAGTGCAATAAACTGCAAGATGCTGCGACAATGATCCCATGTCCATCTTCTGCGGCTTCAAGAGAAGTAGCGACGAGGTCCGTTACCGAGGTTCCACGTGAGAGTCCACCCGGATTGCGTGCCATTCGTATTGAACAAGGGTGGCATATTGGTCGGGGCTAGGAGGATACCGTGTGGCGGTGTTCATCGATGCGACTTTGCGGCAGTTCGTCGAAAGCTCCGTCTGGCAGACATGGCGTGGGCTTGGGACGAGATCTCGTGGCCGAGGCAGGCGGCAATGTTGGTGATAGAGGCCAACCTGGAGGAGAAGGGCTGTGGTAAACGTGAAACCAACGCGAACTGTAAATGTGATTGCGGCTCTGTTGTTGTTTGTGGAGATTCCGCGGCCACGAAAATGCCGACCTTCGCCGGGAGCGGAACACGGAAGGAGGACTTGACGATCCTCTCGCAGATCCCAAATCAATGTCAGGCCATCAACACCATCAACTATCGAGGGACAAGTATCGCAATTACTTTGATGCTTTACACATCAACATACAGACGTACAGTAAGTCAACGACAGGTCGCCGCCGAGGAAATGTACGGACCTTCTCGAAGGCTGTCGAAAGCCTGTCTCAGACCCTCGCCGGGATGACCCCTCGCGACACCGCCCTCCAAGCGGTCTGCAGTAGCAAGCTGGTATAGCACGGCGCCTCATCTCTCCGACTAAGCTGACGGCGCGCTACGGCAACATCGGAGGGCCTGGCCTCTGGAGGCGCAGGTCTAAAGATACGCAAAAGAAGGCCAGAGCCATGCGAACCGCCAAGTATGCGGTGCCTTTGAGCGCCGGACAAAGGAAGCCTCGCTCTGCTTCTGCTCCGGGTAATAAACTCGTGCCCTCCTGCGAGAAGTGAGAGGGGAAATCTACTGGGGTTTGTTTCGATTGACCTGTTCTGATTACTGCTAATGCTCGTTGCTTGAGCTTATCTCGTGTGGAAGACAAATTGGGAAAGAGTGAGGCGTGCACGACGACTATAAAAGAGCAAGGCTAGCTGCTGTCAAGGAGGAAGTGCTCTTCGCAGTATACACATTATACTCCGCCGCGTGCTCAAGCACCGATCTGCAAGGCCTATTACCCACACAAGCCGCGGGTCAAACGATCAGTCGTAGCAGCGAAGAAAGATCCCCCTCCGATCGAACACGAGGAGAAAGCAACAACAATGTGCTCCTACTCCTTCCTCTACTACTATTGCGGCTGCGACGTCTTCATGATCGACGATAGTGTGGAATACTGCGGCAATCGATATCTCAATGGCTACTCAGTCGAGATCTGGAGCGCCGATATGTGCAAAGACCGAGTGGTAAAGTGCAATGGGAGGAGTCGATGGTATTGTTCCGAATGCAGCGAGGACCATACACTAGAATATGAGCTGGAAGAATAGAGAGGAAGAGCAATCCGAGGTGGTGCTGGTGGGATAATTTGGTCTATAGTGTTAGCGAGCAAGTGTGCGGATACCACTTTGCGATTCGGGAGTTATTTGGACATGGCGATAAGCGATGGAGTTTCCGATGGGGTTGCGTGAGATTGGGTCTTGATCTTGGGAGGTCTCTTAGCATAATGTGCACTATGGAAACTGTCCTTTCCACAGTCTGCTGCTTTCAGAGAGAAGCGTGCAGCCCTATGTTGGCCGTTCGGCCATTCCTTCATTGATGTCCTTGTTGCCCTGTGGTATTCTTAAAGTGAAAGAAGGATCCCAGCCCGCACGCAAATCCCCCACCACGACCCTCTTTCTATGTCATTCGATATGGGTCGTGGGAGTTCCACAATCTCGTCATATTCGAATGCTTCACGAATGATCATTGATGCTCAACGCCCAACGCCTTGACCAACGCCGCCAGCTTTCCAGAAAGGTACCATACTCATCACGCTGTCCCCACGCAACTTTCTCTCCCAAACCAACACGAGCCATCCACTGCAACTTAGATCCACTCCCCGTTCGAGCTAGATGCAATCAGCATCCTCTTTGAAGACTCCAAGCACTTCAAGATCTGAGCCCATCCCAACCCCTGTTGCTTCAGAACCTCTACCATCTCCTTCATCTCGCCCACCACAATGCGAAAAGCTCTCTTGCCTGGAAACCTCCTGCTGCTCGGTCCATGCGCCACCCTCCTCGAATGAATCGCCTCCAACCATATCATGAGATTCTGCCATGCGAGGTCCGCGGAGGTGGGAATGTACAATTTGAACCAGACTGATAAACGGCCGCGCATGACGGGTTCGGCGCGGACCCAACGCATGTAGGCTGAAGCGTTGAGGTCGTACATGTCAAAGCGGAAGTGGTTCTCGTGGTAGTAGATTGCTAGGGCTTCTTGTCGTGCCTGGCGGTTGGCGTGCAGTATCCCGGGTTCTGGGGGTGGCTGGACCATAGTGGTGGTGATGTGGATTCTGTCGGTTGATACGAGTGCGTAGCGATAGATTTCGTTCCGTAACTCAGCGGGCAGTTCGAAGAAGAGACACTCGCCGGTCGGTTCTTCGGGACGTTCTGTCTCTTCTGTGAGAGGGACAACCTCGAGTGTGGCCGCGGGCGTGTCTGAGTTGGAGGCTCCTTCGTTGGGGTGCCACGAGTCGTTGCTGTCGCGGACTGGCAGCAACAGACTCATCATATCTGGGTCGCACATAGGTCCCGTTCGCAGTGCGGCGGTGTTCGGGCCAAATTCGAGTATTGGCGAACCAGTTGGGATGGCATCTGGCGTGGCGTTGATACAGTCAGGGACGCCCGGACTGTTGCCTAACATATTGATGAGTTGTGAGCTGTGGCAGTTGAGGTGATTTATGAACTTCGCGAGCAGATGTAAACGAATGCCCAGCGACGTCTTGTCCGCCTGCAACGGCCAGTTGTACGTTACACGAAGGTGCTGTTCACTTCTGCGACCACGTGCTTCTGGCGAGCTCGACTCGATCTGGGCCATCATGGCATCTTCGGCGACGTCGTCAAGTCAGTTCCACGGGAAGCTCTTTGAGACAAGAAGGTCCTTGTGACAAATCGGGTGTCAATTTTGCTTCTGCTACACCGGTACAGCTCGCAATAACGCGGTATGCCGACCAGAAAGTCCACTGAAAGGTCTGTCGACCTGTAGCTGGCCGTGGATCGACCACAGGTTGCGACTCAGCTCGTCAGCGCCTTGTCGTCAGTCGATATCGAATATCTGTAGTCGAATTCAGATCACGGAGGACGTCGAGAATTCGCACATCCATCTAAGCTCCAACGGCTATACCTCCCTCAGATCCTGTTCCTTCCCGACGCAACGGCCGCAGCGCGAGAAGCTGGACGACAAAGTGCAAGGACGTTGAGAAACCAGAGGAAACAACGGGCCTGCGAGAGGCCAACGTTGCTTCCTCACTCGGTAATCCGCTCCGTGCTTCCGGCATCTGCATCGCCATGCTGAACCTTTTCACGCACACTCATCGCTCTTCGTCTCGCATCAACGTACATCATCATTTCAGTGTAGGTTCTCGGTACGACCTTGACATCTTTGTCTACCAGGAATGTGTAGTTGAACTGTCCAGTTGGCTTCGCCACACCGTGTTCGACATCTCTGACCTTGGAGTCCACTCGCACCTGTACACGAGTCTTTGCATTCTGAGCTCGACCTTCAGTCGTCTGTTGTTCGTCGGATTGTCCTGATATGAGAGGTGGGTCCGTGTAGACGACTGTCGCTGTGAGATATAGGACGCTTCCTACAGGTACGGGATTCTGGAAAGTGGAGGGATCAAGGGATACGAAAGTCGGTCGTGTGTGGGCGAAACTGGCAGCGCAGCAGAACGCGATCTCAAAGGTCTGTTTGAGCAGAAAGCCACCGAAGATCATGAAGTGGTGCCTGTTTCTGTACTGCGGCTGCATGATGCTGGCGGTCCTGAGTTGAGTCGCATCCATGGCAATCACATTTGAGGGCATTCGCATTGAATCAGCGGGGTCGTGATATTGCAACTGTCGCTGCCAGATGGCATGAATTAGATCACTCTCCTCATCGTTCGGCGTCTGCTTGAGTAAGGAATGTTTCGCCAGTTCTTTGCGACGCTGTCCGTTCTTCTCTCCCTCTTCGAACAGTCGCCTTTCTTCTTCAGTGTCGGTGCGAACGGCGGCGATATTCACTGGCTTCTTTGTAGCGGGATCCAAAGAGACCATAGTGCATTGGCAGGTCATCATGACATCTTCGGGCTTCGGCTTTTGACCTTTGGGTGGAGCTTTAGCGACTTGCAATGTGATCTCCATACTACTTCGGCCTGCGGCATACGTGACCTGATGTTGCGATTTAGCGGTTATCAGCGACGCGTGCTACGGGATGACAAACCTGTCCACTGTATTCAAGATCACAGACTTCGGTAAGAGGGTGCTCGATCGTAATTCGGTCGAAAGCTGCAGTCACCGTAGTGACAGCATCACCTGTGTGCTTGTACGCCACTACACCGGCAAGAGCATCCAAGTCCATCAGAATGGTTCCAATGCGAATATGGCCTGACGAATTCATATACGTGTCTAGCAACCATGGCTCTTGCGCAAGGGGAAGGACCTTGAACTATCAGTCTAGTTGTTGATGTGCATCTGTGTTCGCCAGCTACATACGACGCTATGATATGAATCTGACATCTTCTTTGGTGTCAAGTCGCGATTTGCAGGAGTGCTGGGAGGCTCCGGCTGCTTTTGGCCTGCTTGTTGCTCCCGGAAGGCTTCGATCCATGGCTTTTGGACACGCTCTCCTGTCAATGCTCTGAAGACGCCGTCTGTCCGGTGCTGGTGACTGGCAGAAAATTGGCGTCTGGCAGCGCATCGGCATTCTCTCGTCGTAACGCTTGGTCTGGCGCGGAACAGCTGCCGCACAGGGCTGCCTCTTGATGCCATGTTCGTGGGAGATGTGACAAGATTCGATGCGTTGTGAGTTCACAAACGGGAACGATTGAGGCGGAAGTCTGTTGTTGCCAAGCACGGGAGAGTTCGGAACTCTCATTCTGGCAACCAAGACTTCTGGCAACGATCCAGGGCAAATACCAACATTCGTTCCTTCCTTCTTCGCTGCAGCAAGTACTCTGAGACCAACTTGTTGGTGCTATCGATACAGCATCTACCATATTTCTGTCAGTCTGTCAGCACGACATGCTGGACAATTCCCACATGGCAAGCGAAATGCAAGTACAATGGCCGGACATCCTTTTGATCTCGAGCTGGGCCAGCTAGACTTGGTTTCAACAACTTCAGGTCTACGGCTACAGCTTGAGAGCAAAGCACAATTTGCTGCATCTGCGCATGATTTGGAGACACTGGCGGAGCTTGTGGCCACGTGTGGCCCACTGCAACCTAAGCGGGCCTGGCTCACTCTGACACCGGGCTTCCGACTGACCATTAGGTTGCATTTTCCATCTTGTGATCGAGGCGAAGACGAGAGATTGGCGGAGCAGCTCGCCCAAAGACTATCGGATGACATTGTACGTTGAATGAAGTGCCGAGCGCGGGCCTCATGCTGACAGACACCAGCTTTGGCAACAACTGCAGCTCGAGCCTAAGGCCAAGGAGATCTCGCTGGATACCGCAGAATCTTGTATGCGGATTCGAGTTGTCCTAGACGATCGCGAGAGGACGAGAACCGATTCGTGGTGCAAAGCACATAAGCTTGCGCAGAATGTGCCCGCTCGCGATGTACAACCACCGCCGGGAGTTCCCAAGGCAGAGCTCAGTGAGGCCATACTGTCTATGACTTTTACGGCTCCAGAGACTTGCAAGCGGAGAAAGACCAGAGCTTCTCAGGATCAAAATACGATAAAAGCAGAAAACCCCGATGAGGTCTTATTGGACGCTGCTCATCATCAATCTCTCGGCCCCAGATCCTGCTCGCCAGGTGTTCACTCGATGCGACGGACAAGAACGACGCCAGAGAGAAGTAACTTATGTGCAGACATGTTGTCAGCCACTCTACAAAACATACCTGAGGACGAAGTGCAGAGTGGCTACGCACAATTGCGGCGTCCTGGTCTCAAACGATGTTGGAGTACTGGCGACATGGTCCCAAATATGGACGATCAGATCGCGGCATTGCCACACCTGTTCGATGCTGGGCTGCGATACTCAATTGCTGTACCTCTGAAATGCTCCACAAAGGATATCATCGTTAGTGCAAGTGAGTCACTGAAGCATCTTGCTGACGTCTGCCCTACCGGCTTCTCGCCGGGCTTTCTGGAGGCAGTTGCTTCGCGTGCCGCATTCATGCCCACCATCAGCCATGCTTTGAGCAATATTTGTGCTGTGAACGCCAGAAGCCAAACCTTGGGGAACAAGCTCAAAGAGATAGCACGCCGTGATGGCTTGACCACTCGGCAGCAGAGCAACATGTCCATGGTGCAGGACAGTCTGGGAAGCCACATGTGGACGGTTTTGACAGCAAACCTACAAAAGTCAGACCGCGCTCCTCGTGCGCGTTTGATGATGAACTGCGAGCAATCGAGCACACCATTTGAAATGCTCACTCTTGACGGATCAGCGTTCCGCATCCTCGGGCCTGATGAGCCAGAGGCTTGGCTGGAAGAAGCGCATTGCTGTTGCGGCGAAGATGACTGCGTTTGTCCGCCCGATCTGGATCTAGACCACATGCTGGATGAGGGCTGGCACGAATTTTTGGTGGACGACGTTCCTTCGGCTTCTGAGGAAGACTCCCGCGCGGAGAGTCATGACCAAATTTCGCAAGCACGCGACACTCGCGTGGCAAATCTCGACGATGAGGTCTTCTATGGTAGCGAGCAGTTACAGTTGCTCGAGAAGGACTCTTTTCTTGGTGTCGTACCAGATGTAGTGTTTGTCGGGACGGTTTGCAAAGACGACGGAATGCTGATGGAGTCGGATTTCGATGCCGAAGAGATGTTAGCAATCTAGCGAGATGGTATGGGACCACCTTCAGACGACCTCGGTCTTCACACGAATACACTCAACGAGCATCACCCATGAATCAGCAGACGTCTCAGGTTTGTCCCTCGCTTCGTGGTTCCTTCGACCAAGTCCTGTTCTGTGGTCGGAACTTCGGAAGCATGGCGCCGCTCAGGAAGATTTCAGCCACCTCAAACTCTGCTCAACTCAACGCCATCATCAGACCAGATCCTTCATCACTACTTCCACTTCACACAGCACGGTATTACTATGACGAATGGCGTTCGCGATACAGCATAACGAGCGCCATGGGACCCACCACGTCACGACAGCTTCGCGCGGCACTAGGCATTTCCAATCGCTGCCACGACCTCGCGCTGGCCTGATCACAGGCGTCCAGCAGAGCATATACTGCGTATCATGAGACTCCATTTGCAATTTCGGTGCCGATGTCGTGTCGAAGTTCGCGCGCGCAGGATCGTGACGCGACATCCGCCGTGCCCATCACCACCGCGTCTGGCGCATGCAATATTCTAGAGCCCCGGGCAAATGTTCAACCGGTCGCAGTCGTGCAACAGGCCATCCTCGTCCCAGGCGACCTGGGTGCATGTCAGCACAGTCTTTGCGCAACGGCTTCAATTTACTTGCGTCGTTGTTCGCACGCGTCTCCGCGGTGCGCGCTGCACTTCGGACCCTTCGCTTGAAGAGGCTGTTCTCCCCGGGCTGCGACTCCATCTCCAGTCTCCACCACTCGGGATCCCGCGCCATTGTTGCAACAGCCGCCAGCGCAATGAGTGACGTGCAGCAAGGAACATGATCGACAGCTCATCGGCTCCAAAGACTGCCCTCTACCTTTTGCACGCACCAGGCGACATGGCTGCTGAAACAGCTGGCGGTGCTGACCTATTGCTAGGACTCCGGCAGCAAGCCCATTGTCTTTGTCCCTCCGCCTGCTGGCACTACTCCACGATTCGGTAATCGCTCGAAGGGCGATCCTTCGTATCGGTACGATACACGAAGCCTGCGCGACAATATGTGCGAACGTTGCACACGACGCTCGGTTCTTGACACCTTTTCGTGATTGTTGTGCTGCCATTCTCAGCACTCCGAGTCGTCGCTTAGCCTGTACTTCGAAAACTGCCAGCCAATAAGCCACCACTGACGCTGGGTCTGCATGCATCACGCTGCAGCTGGCCAAATAACGTCCGCTTGTGTCGTGCCTACATCCGCGCTGCGGGCGATCCGATGAGCTCAACGAGCGCCACAGTACCCAGTCTCTCGGCGGCCTTGATCTGGCGGCACACACGACACTTCGGTCATGGCTGATGCTGCACACCGAGAATTCGACCCTCTGGCCACCCACTGCTTGCTCCAAAAGCCCTTCTGAATGACCGGAAGTCGCGGCTTGCTCTTGCCGCCGCTCAGGCGTCCGGTCTCTGCTGCCCATCTAAATGCTCGGCATGCCTTGCCTTGACAAGAGCACGAGAGAGAAGCGAGAGATGCAACTTCCCGTGGTCATCAACTCGCGTTATCCCTGACGTTGCCGAACTGCTACTGGGTTATACGCCTATTCGGATCCCTTGCCAGCAGGACTGCGCTCCGTACCAACCAAATTTCCTGCGAAAGCGAGCCATTTACCTTGCGACTGCATACTCCTGGTTGTGCAGCTTTTCTAAGCATCAAAAGAACATTGGCTTTCTATTCTCTCGCACGAATTCAGTTGGCCATCCACATTGTCCGTCACCTGGAACTCAACACAAGCATCTCGCGACAACTTTGACTGCCCAAGAGCTCTTTCAAGAACGATGTCATAACGCTATCGTACTTCGATGGCACATCTCCGTCAAGCCGATAGTGAAGCCACTAGCTTGACTCACTTCTTCACTTCAGTCCTCACCTCTGGATAACGCTTCTTGGAATTGCTCACCTGCGCCTTTTATCGAACATCGACATCGCCTCTGGACACAACAAGTTGTTCTTGCAACTCGCAACAGACCTTGCGCTTCTCCAAAGGTTGGTCCGCAGCAGATTGGCGCTACGATATCACCACCGTTGTCATATGCTAAACAGGACACAGCCAGAGGATGACCGATATTCTTCCGAGTCCGATTCACGACGTATGATCAGCCATGTCATCCTACAGCACAGGTGATTCTGTGCCCAGCACTTTCGACCCCGGCATCGTAGCAGCATCTTTCTTCGCAAGTCTGACTGGATGCCTCCTCACCATCGAAATCCTTCATCGCCGAGGCACTGCCCTGGGCAATTTCAGGAGCTGGTGCGTTAACCTGCGACATGCGTGATCTGGCGATGGCGGAGAAGGCTGATGTTTTGTGCAGGGCCGAGACAGTGGCATGCGCCACATCCTTCGGACTAGTCGGTATCTGGTGCATGCACTTCACAGGCAATCGCGCCATCATCCTCGGCGAAGGCGATCCTGAGTACCAGCTGGTCTACAACTCAGGTTACACTGTGCTTTCCGTGTTTCTGCCCATTATCGGACTCACCATTGCCTTCTCCGCTGCAGAGCTGCCTGCGAAACAGCAGATCCTCCACTGGACAGCGCTGGTGCTCACAGGTACCTTCGCGGGCTTGAGCATTGTCGGCATGCACTATCTCGGCAACTTCGGTGTGACCAACTACAAGCTGAACTACAGCCCTCGATATCTGGCCGCATCCATCGTCATTGCCATCGGCGACTGCCTCACAGTTCTTGCGTTATTCTACAACCTGCGCGAGAAATGGATCAGCTCCTGGTGGAAGCGCGTACTGTGTGCGCTAGCATTGGCTGGTGGAGTGTCTGCAATGCACTTTACAGCCTCTACGAGCTGCAGGTACGAGTTTCTGCACAGCAATAGCGTTTCTGAGATTCGTTCGCGAGATACGCAAGTGATAGTTGCTGGTGCCATCTGCGGTGCTGCTGCAATCATGTGCATGGGTGTGCTGTTCATCACACGTGCGCGAAACCGGATACTGAAGAGCAGATCCCAAAAAGTAATGCTGGCCTGTGCAATGTTCGACCCGGACGGGAAGATACTGGTGACGACCGAAGGCGTGCTACCTGCCCGAGAGATCACCGACAAGTACCATCATCGAACATTTGACGAAGATTTCGATACGGCGCACGCGGTCTTCCAATGGATCTATCGTGTGACGCACAACTGGGCGGGAGTGAGCGAGTTGGTGCCTCGCATGAAAAGTCATCTTGCAGCGGAGAAGGAAAGCACAACGGGAGATGTTAAGGTTATCAGCTCGCATGCCAGCGCCATCTACGACGCGGAAACTTACAGCAATTACGAACTCATATTTTGCGAAAGATTCTGCACCGCAGCGTCTTCACTTGCGACTTCGATGGGGTTGCCGATCGAGCAGCTTGGCGTGCTATACGACAAAGTTATCGAGACAGGGACGTTGCGAGTAGAGGCGAAAGAGAAGCGCTGTGCATCCTCAGAAGACAAGACGTTGGCGGAAGTCGAGGCTGCGCTCCGTCTGAACCTTTTCGGCAAAGGTCAGCTCATGTTCATCACCCGCCAACTGACCCAGGATGAGACAGACAAGCTGCTGAATTCGGGCTACCGATTTGCGGGAAGACAGCAAGTAAGCAGGAGCATTGCGCAGGCTATGCAGGTGCCGCAACCAGCTCTGGAAACCCAACTAGGAGACCTTTGGGGCTATATTGAGAATCTGATGAACACAGAAAAGAGTGGGACGTACTTAGCGTTCTTTGCCATGGTCCCGAAACCGAACGGCAAAGGATTTGACATTGTGGTACGGAAGGAAAACCAGGATCAGCTGCCGGATGTGCCGCTACTTACTGGCAAATCTATGCAGTGGCAGGCTGCATTTCTGGAAAAGATGGATGGCTTCCGTGTCCAACAGTGCATCCAATTCTGCGAACTTGGTGATGGGCGGCAGGAGACTCGATCTCCACAGGAACAACAGTTCGCGGTCATGGTCAACCAGGCCATAGTATCCTTGACTCAGCAATTTCCCCCCGAGTGGAAGAATGAGGCCCGATTCTGGGCGCAGCAGCTCAGTGCCCACTACTCACATCGTCTTCGAAGAGGCTCGACCATCACTACGCTGTACGCCTTCACCTGCATTGGCGATATGCATGCCTCTATCGACAAGTCCGAAGCATTATGCCGCATCCCCCGGACATTTTTCGATACTCGGCATCGATGTTACTCTGGCTCGCCGGATCATGCCGTCTTGATGAAAGACATACATGCTGCCTTCAGCCCTCTCTTTTCACGGAAAGTGTCCAAGCCAGAACATAGCAAACGCCGCCACGGCAGACTCTCCATTGCCCTCAGCAACAGCCCCGTCAAACCGCTCAGGAAAATGCGAAGCAAATCTATGCCCATCGTGCCAGGTAAAACACCGCCTTCCAGATGTAGTAGTGCTGCAGAAGGCCACACAAGTGATGAGGACTCTTCTTCGATGCATGAGCTCGTCGACCGCCCAGCTCATCTCGCCGGCTCGGGCTCTGCTCGAGCTATTTCTGATCGGCAGAGGACGAGGACGGGCAACTGGGGCGGGATTCTCGTCAATAGCGAGACTGTCGTCAAGACGGACAGTAAGAATGAGTTCTCGCAGGATGAGAAATTCGAAGGAACTCGTGATATGGGAATCAGAACTGCAGTGGGAACTGCGAAGCCCGAAACAACCTTTGTGGATGAGTTGGTTACGGTGACGAAGGGACGATTCTTACCTGCCTCAAGTCGGGGTTATGTGTGATGAAGAGACATGACCTCTGGGCACTGTGGATGTTTTGTGTTACTTTTTGCTTGACTCTTTCTTCTTCTACTCACCATGTCGAATACTGAGAGATACCCTATCGAAGCGATGATTTTGGTTGCTTCTCTTGGCACGGAGCAGAGGGACGGGTGGGCACGTGGGATCGGTTCTGGAATTGTGTATAATACTCCGGTCAGCAATAGGTTGAGCATTTCTCGTGTCCGCTTCCACTTTCCGGTGCAAATGGCATGGTTCGCAACGGCGGAAGTCTATCACGTATACGCTCATTTCGACTTCGTCTTCAGCTCGTTTCCATAGCCTTCTTCCTCGTTTCACCAGAACGGGTGTAAGGTTTGTGGCGGCGGCTTACGCACGTTACCAATCCCTTTCTCTTGCATCACTACTTCATCCTCTGACTCCATCACCTCGACGACTCGGGCAACATCACATACACGCCCGGATTAGCGCCTCTTATTATCAGTGCATCCGTTGTGCCGTCCAAGCTCCATCAGTTTCCGACGTGCGAAGAGACCTTGGAGCGAGACGCGCGCTGGGCGGCCTGGACTCTGTCGCAGATCCCACGCGCTGGACCTCCCGCCTCGACCTGCACCACAACGCGGCCGGTGATTTCTTCTTCACAGCAATCCACGGCCTTCTCCAAGCTGCATGACAAGACTGTGGTCTAGACCGAGAGTCAATGCCAGCGCCGTTGATCGCGTGCTGTGGCCAAGCACGTAGTGTCGGGAAAAGTGCGACCACGCATACATGAGATGAGATTACTATTCCTCAATCACGTGGGTGAAGGTCTACACATCTGCTCTGGACGCGGAGGAGTTGGTCAAGACGTTTGTGAAGCTAGGAGCTATACCGGGCATCCGCCAGCAACAGCCCCTTCCAGACTCATATCCTGGTCCGCCAAGCCAAAGGCCTCACTCACGGTGGTTTAGCCGCACACCGGCAATCGGTCTCTAGGCTCCACTGAACGAGGGCAACGAGAAGCGAAAATTCGCCTGCTCAAATTGCTGTAAGAATGCTTGTAGTCATCACTGCTGGCAAACGTGAGCAGACTGCCGGACAAGCCTCGCCCAATGCCTCACCATTTTGATCCCGGAAGAGATCGGATACTCGTAAGCAACGGTCGCCATGCGATTGGCTGGAACAGGCACCGGTAGCTGACGAGGTGGAGCACTGTTCAGGATCTCATCTTGTCACCCAGGTTGTGTGCAAAAACAGAAACCTCGCACGAGATGTCGGTCGCTGATCAATTTTCTCGCACACTATTGACCGCATTCCCAGATACGTTCTTGTCCACAAATACAATGTCTCACCTTTAGCGTTCATCAGCCACGCCTGTGCCATGCGACACAAGCATGGCAATTTCTTCGCCAACGGTGGCATCACCTGTCACAACATCTGAAGAAATACTTCACTCGTATTGGTGAACTCCGGATGGAAGCCGAACTAGAGTCCGATAATGGTAGGCATGAACTAGCTTTGCTCGGACACGACGAATAGGAAAGAGGCCCCTATTTCCAGCACTTCCGCATTTCTGGACAAATCCTAGTACGCTAAATAATAGGTTTTGACTAGTCTTGCGGACGTCTGACTGACACGAGAAGCCGCAATGAGCTGCGCACGCAAAACGGTGACATGACCATGGACGAAACTCTAGGCTGTCGTGTACACGAGGCACAACGGCGAAGATCTTGACTCGAAGTGGACGCATGTGAAGACCACGGATCGGCAACGAAAACGTCGAAGGCTTTTGAGCTATTCAAAGCGCAAGACTACGGCCATGCCGCCAGGCCATCGGATGATCAACAACCAGCAGGTGCAACATGCCTGAGATAACCAGCCTGTCTAGTTCCTGTAGTGCTGATGCTACAACCCAAATTGGCGATCTAAAGAGCGAACACCTGGCTGCGCCCATTGTCCTGCCCCGTGGCAGTCCATGTTAAGCGTGATTGCTGCGCTAGAGCCGCTGCGCACCTAGTCGTGCTGGGCGCATACCTGACAGTGCTCGGATCACGACAACAACTCAGGGATGGCAGCACGCACGTTTTATAAGAGCGCTGCTCGTCCTCACGACAGACTTCACGATACCCACCCCACCGACCTAGTCACTCTTTTACTTGCTGCGGTGTCAACTGCCTTACATTCTTTTTAAACCCAATCATTACGACAGAACTTTCGTTTTAACTTAATAGTCACTTCACGTCTTCACGATGCAGATCAAGGTCCTTGTTGCTGCTATGGCAGCTGCGGCAGCTGCCGCTCCAGCTGTGTCGCGCGACCTAGCTCGTCGCGACTCCCCGGCTTCTTACGGTGCTGCTCCTCCAGCGCCAAAGACATACACTCCATCCAAGCCAGAGGAGAACACTCCTACTAGCCCTAAGAAGGAGGACCCACCGGCATACGTTCCAGTGACCACTTCTGGATCTTGCAATGCTCCAAAGCCCAGCACCCCATCGAGCTCATCTTACGGCCCTGGTGGTGATAAGCCATCTGGCGACAAGCCAACTGGTGACAAGCCATCCGGACCATCGACTTATGGCCCAGGTGCTGACAAGCCCTCCGGCGACAAGCCAACTGGTGACAAGCCATCTGGAGACAAGCCATCTGGCCCATCCTACGGCCCAGGTGGTAACACTCCATCTGGCAACACGCCTTCCGGTAACACGCCTTCCGGTAACACCCCATCTGGCAACACGCCATCGGGCAACACGCCATCGGGCAACACGCCATCGGGCAACACGCCATCGG